AGCATCAGGGTCTTTTCCAGAGAGTCTTCTCTTCGCATTAGGTGGCCAAAGTATCTGAGCTTGAGCTTCAGTATCAGCTAAAAAGTAGTTTATCTGGAATTACATCTTTTGAATTTTGTGAACTGATATCCTCTTTAGAGGACTTTTTGGGTCTCCCCCTCTTTGGAGTTTAGACTGCTGTTTACCTAAAAGGGATTCTTTTGAGGCGGTAGGCAAATTATGAAATTTACTCCTAAGTTATGTATGACAGTGTATCTGCATCTCTTACATTCATTCTGCTGCATGGTCCAATGGAGGCCTTAATTGCCACCTGGAAAGAGAAGGCAGCAGGGCCCTTAGATCAGATTGCTCCATGTGGCCTCTTTCCATCCATGGATCCTGTCACTCTCCCTGGTTTGTGAAGGAGTTAAGGGAGATGAAGTGGGTAAAAAGATGCCTAATGTGCTGCTGGAGGTTGATGAAGAATGAACTTGACTGAACATGGGTTACAGCTGCTATTAAGGCCTACCTCATGGTGGTAAGGGTGGCAAAGTGTTAGTATTTCTCTCCCCTTATTGCATTACAGAGAAGGTTACTCGGGCCCACCTGGGTTGCGGGGGGCCAGAAGTTCACCTTCAGGGCCACATGGAGGAATATGCAAGGCATCTGTCAGACAAAATTGCTTGGATCCACTCCCAGATGGACTCCAGCCTTGGAATAGGTCCTATGGAGGCACCCAGGATGCAGTCTTGCCATATTATCTGGGATGAATTTGATCCTGTTGGGTCCAGTGAAGCGGACAGGGTCCTCATGACTGTGAGTTTGGCCACCCATTTGTTAGATCCATGTCCTTCCTGGTTGGCCAAGGCCACATGGGAGGTGATGTGTGGCTAGTTTGCAGCAGTGGTCAATTCTTCCTTGAGAGAGAGGGTTGTCCTCTCCACCCTTAAGGAGGTGCTGGTTCACCCCCTTCTCAAGAAACAATCACTAGACTTGACCACACTGGACAATTTTCATCCAATACCTAACCTCCTCTTTTTAGGGAAGGTTGTTGAAAAGGTGGTCACACAACAGCGTCAGAGGATCCAGGATGAAGCAGTTTATCTGGACCCCTTTCAGTCTGGTTTCAGACCCGGGTGTGGGACTGAAACAGCACTGGTCAAGCATCTGAATGACCTCTGCTGGGAGAGGGATGGGGGGAGTGCATCCATCGTTGCGCTTCTTGACTTCTCGATGGCCTTTGATACCATCAACCATGGTATCCTTCTGGATTGGATTGGGCAGGTGGCACTGTATTGTGCTGATTCTCTTCCTTTCTCCCTGGATGGTTTCAGTCAGTGTCTGAAGCCCTTAGTCCTTGTGGCATTCTGCAGGGTTGGTTTCTTTCCCAGCTTAATATCTCTATCCATAATGAACTAAGCAATGCTGTTGATGTTGTCACTCGGTGCCTGGAGGGTGTGGGGGTTTGGATGGGGAACAACAGGCTTCAGCTCAACCCTAGCAAAACTGAGTGGCTTTGGGTTTTGGGGCCTTCTGGTTCCAGAGACTTCGCATCTCTTGTTCTTTCCCAAACAGACCCTGTGCGCAATCTGGGCATCCTCCTGGATTCAGGAGATGACTCTTGTTCAAAGAAGGCCTATACGCAGTTTTGTGTTGAGTGCCAGTTGTGCCCTTTCCTGGACCAGGAGGCTCTGCTCTCAGTCACTCATGCCCTGGTTACTTCCCAAATGGATTACTGTAATCAAGCTACATGGGGCTGTCTTAAAGAGCATTCAGAAGATGCAGCTGGTGCAAAATGTGGCAGCTCAGGCAGTTATGTGTGCTCCTCAAGCAGTGCATGTTACAACTCTGTTCTGCAAGCTGCACTGGCTACAAGTGTGCTTCCAGGTGCAATTCAAGGTGCTAATAATGATCTGTAAAGCCCTATATGGCATGGGACTGGGTCATTTGAGGAACCATATCTCCATAGTTACATCTACCAATCCTGTCAGATCCAGAAGAGAGGCATGTTATGGGTCTTGTCTACTAAAGAATGTCACCTGATGGGACCCAGGAAGAGAGTCTTTTCTGCCTTGGTGCCCACCTTTTGAAACATCATTCCCCCAGAACTTAGATTGGCCCCTACCCTTCTGGCCTTTAGGAAGATCCTGAAGACATGGCTGTGCCACCATGCTTGAGAGTCTGATGGTAGTGGTGAGCCTCTTCAATGGTTATACTGAATTGGAAGTACTGATTGTATTTACCTACTGACTGTGATTATGTTTTGTATTTGAGTTTGTAATAGTGGTTTCAGTACGGTTGCATGTCTGTTTTATTCATATTTTTTATTGTTCTTAGTGTTGCTTTTAATTGTTGTGAGCCACCTACATATGTGAGATAGGTGGCTATACTAACATAACACAACACAACACAAATAAATAAATAAATGTACAAAAGCCATCTTTATGGTTTTCAAATACCCAACAAGTCCATCCTGTTCATCTGGGCTTCGCACCTGACATTTTATAACATTCGATTTTTAAGGAAAATGTGTAATGTTTACAGCCATGTTATTTTGTTTTCTTTGTATCTTGTTTTTCTTGTATGTTTCACTGTTAGTAATGCTCCTGCTTATGCTTATATCCCATTTATGGCATATACAGAATTAGGAAGAACAGTTTCTAAAATAAATACAAATTCCTAAGCCTTCATAACAGGACAGTTAATTATATATTTGAAGCATAGTCTGATTAGTACAAGAATTTTAATCACTTACTTAGGAGCATGAATAATAAGAACCCCAAAGCTTGCTCTACCAGTTTCATCTGTTTTATTCACTGGATTTGAAGAAACAATCTGGAAAAAAAAGGTTTTTTTCTCCTTATAACAAAATACTGTAATGCTGACTAAGTAGCATGATTTTCATGTATATTATTGGCTTCCCAGTAAAATGCAATGGAGAAAAGCAAGGTATCATGGGAAATAAACATTAGGACACTATATGGGCAATCAACACCCATGGTTGCATAAGTTTTCCCTAGTTCTGCAGAACCAGAATAGTGATTGGTTCCAGCAAAAGCCTTTCTGTCATTAGAAGAGAGTGGAAGGACAATGAGTGACAGTATGCGAACTGCATCTATAGATCTATAGACTATAGATTCTTAATTTGCAACAATGCTGTCTGGCACATGTATTAATAAGGACAGTAATTCAAGTACAAATTAATAATCTTCAACTGGTTATTTATCTATCCAAAAATATTCTGAATATTTTATAAATATTTTGTATAATCATGTATGGTAGGATCCCAAAGTATTTAAAGCAAGTGAGATATATTTTTAAAATACTTGAGTTTAAAACTGCAGGGCATTTAAGGAGTGACTCTACTCCCAAATGGAATACTCCCAAATGAATAAGCAAGTTGTAAATGGGAAGACCAAGTTTCACCTACCTGGATATTACTAGGTTTTGAAAATGTGATTTTGAGATTAGGTTCAGCAGACGGATTATTCCACTGATCGCAGAGCTGGACTGTAAGAGGCCTTGGTAATTCTTTGCCACTAATTACAGATATAGGCTAGAAAGAGACAATGATTACTATTTGGAACTATGTAGAATATCTAGCAGGCATACACTATTTCATCAACAACTTATGAATACAATAATGAAAATAACTTTTTTTCATACAAATTACATTTTTTGTTTCAGGATTCACTTTCATACCAGATAATATGTCAAACTTTCAAACATCATTAACAAAATTTCTCACCTCTCAAATTTTACAGATTTGCAAAACCAATTGTTAACATAGTATTGTTTGGTTAGTATTGTATTATATGGCACTGACTTACCTTCTCTGGTTCTATCCAGTCCAGAAGAACCAATTTAGCTGGAGGGCCAGCAATCAAATTAAACTTCAAGTAATGAGAGAAATCATGCCAAGCAAGGCACAGTTCTTTAGTTTCTGCTGGGCCTGGTTCAAACTTAATTCCTTTGACAGAAATAGTTTGTGTCTCTTGCTATAAAGAAATACATAATAATAGAAATAAAGAAAACCTGATAGGATTTTATGGGGGAAAAGTTAGTTGATTATAAAAGCATAACATGAATATACATACTGCATATGTCATGCAAAATGACTGAAAATCTAATGCTAAATTTGGCCCAGGGAATTTATGTGTTATCGAAAAGGCTATAAACAGTTTCATAGAAATTTGGATCAAAGTCTACTGACAAATATAATCATATCATTTTACATATGGTGGTGCTTAAAAGTTGTGAACCCTTTTAAATGTTCAGTATTTCTGCATAATTTGACCTAAAACATGATCTGTTTTCCACACAAGTCCTAAACTAGATAAAGAGAACCCAATTAAAGAAATGGATCAAGAACATTATACTTGTTCATTTATTTATTCAGGAAAATGAACCAAAACTACATATTTGTGTGTGGCATTATATCATATGTTATATTATATATATTGTGATAGGTCATATATATGCAGAAATATTGAAAATTCAAATGGGTTCACAAACATTTAAGCACCAATGTATGATTTGAAAAATTATTTCTAACTCTGTTCCTTTGAAGTAATTTATTTTACTCTTGCAAATAAAAACAAAAAATGGTTCTTCTCTTAGTTAGAAACTTTAATTGGGCATTCCCACAGTATCTTTCTCTATCATTAAATATGAATGAATCCTCATTATAGCCAATGGTCAGCGATAGAAGGTATAACTGAAAACAATTAAAAAACATAATTAAATAAAAGTAGAGTAATACAGGTAATTGTAATAAGTGATATAAAAAGTTGGTTACAACTGTGGGAGACCATTCACCAACTGATGCTTAATTTTCACTGCTGCTAAAAAGGATGAACATATAAGTATTTTCAGATCGTCAAGAATACTGATGTAAAAGAGGCAGGATATAGGCATTACAAATCTCTATAGATGGTTTAATAAAATAACATGTGTTGGGCTGTTTCAATGTTTCCAGTTCTACACAGATAAATGTATTTCTTGAATGGGATTTTAGAGTATCTTCCCTATACAGTAGTAATGCCGAAGACAAAATCTTATGCCTTGCCCAAAAGAACGCTTTCCTTAGTTTAAGGAATGTCAGTGAAGAGAGATAATTGGCCATTTCCCAAAAACCGAGTAGTCAGGGAAGAGAGGGAACATTAAAAAAAAAAATCCAGTCTGGAATGCAGACCCTTGTCTGCAAACCCTAGTTTCTGCAAAACACAAGGTGGTTTCCTTAAAGGAATAGGATGCCTGCTGGAAGTTAAAGGTTTTGAAATCCTGCTGGAAAGCAGTGAACAGAGAGACGAAGCAGCAAAATGTTGTTAAGAGAACTATCATGACAATTAGAATAGGATATGCATAAAGTAACGGTGTTGGGGAAGACTAAGAAATAATTCAGTGGGAGCAGGAACTGGAGGAAGTATGAAGAGATCATTAGAAGGTCAATAATTTCTTGTTCAAGGATTTGAAAAAGATGATCATGACATGCCTTTCAATTTTTGCTTCTGTGAAAGGATGGTCTCAGGACAACTAATTATGACTAACGATAGGTTATGTTTAACTAAAAAAGTATGACTACAAAAGAAATTAAATTCAATCCTTGCTTTGAATAAAACTCAACTTTCTAATCTAAATAGCAGCAGAAGGAAAACTGATACCTGAGAACAACAGCTTTCTATTTGTCAAGAAAACACATTTGTTTAGAGAATAGTGAATTAATTTTTATAGGACTGAAAAGGCATTCTGTTCATCTCTTAATATTCATGTAACTGTTAACTAGCTGCTTCAGGGATATAAGTATAAAGGAGTACTTCTTTAAAGAAAAATACATATTTTGATGGATATAAATGCTATATAATGTGGGATATTAGAAAATACCTGCCAAACAGTTCTCAAATCTGATTTATCCAGACCATTCCCAGAAATCTCCAAGGCGGCCGTACAAGATGATGTCAGGGATTGAATCTGATTTCCATGCTGATCGGTAATCATTATCTCTTTTATAAAAAAAGGACAAGTTATGAAAATACTGCAGAACACATAACACAGTTATAAACCAGATTAAAATATTATCATATTTATAATACGTTATTGTAAACCAACATTCTACATAAAGCTTAAAATTCTCCTTGATGTTAATACAATGGTAGTTCAATTTTATGTTTATTCAAGATCTGAAATGGGCTTAATGGGGCTTACTTCCAACTATGCAAACAGAATTATAAAGTAATATTTTACCTGATAGCCTAAGTGTATTAGAAGTCTAGAATCTTAGCCAACAGGCCATTAATGCAAACCAAACGGCACTAAATCACATTAGAATATAGGGCCACAGAACAAACCTGGATTTACTTTGCATAATATAGACAGGATTGGAACTCATATCTCTTCTAAGAGTTGACTGAGTAAATAAAAGCAACAGGACTGCAGTCTTCCCAGCTGCTGAGTGTATAAGGCTACTGAAGGCTGCCACAGTACTATCTCTGTAATCAAGGTATGTGCATTATAGAAAGCAAGTGTCAATTAAAAATGTTAAGAATTACACATACGTACCAATTTCATCTTGCAGTTTTTCACCCATTTTTATTATATTTGATCCTTTAATTTTGCATTTAATATGTTTTGGTTCATCAGCAAGTGGTCTAGTGAAATCAACAGTGAGAGCTTAATATATACTCATTTTAAGGAAATAGCAGTAAATTTCCTATTATTCATACTCTGGATAGTTAATTTTTACTGGAATTTGGGCACGGGCATCTGCAGAAGGGGAGCTGGGGGGCAAATGACAAAACATGTGTTGTGATGTTGTAATGCAAACTACACCTCTTGTATATTTGCATGTGACACTCTGATGCAGGTACAAAAGGGCAGACCATGCATTGTGTTGTCATGACACACGCTTTGTCATTTTGGCATCATCATGGCTAGCTGTAGGTTTTGGCCTGCTTCATCCCAAATCACTGCAAACATCATGATGGAGTAAACTACACTACATCACAAATGGCAGGGCAGTTGTCTATAGTCCTGCTTGTTTCTGTTGAAGCACCTCCCCATCCTCTCTTCCTCCTCAAGTGATCTTCTGGCTTGAGAGCCAAAAAGAGTCTGTGCTTCAAAGGTAGAGGACCTTCTACTTATCAGTGAAAGAAGACACTGTCTTCCAGATTATAACGATCATCCCCTTGAGCACTGACCTTTTCCCCTCAAAGGAAAAAAATGTATTTTTTTGATATGTGCTTATATCTAAGTACAATACAAAGAAAACAATAATAGAGTATATAGCAACTCAATAAAACAGTATAATAGTAAATTTAAAATATTATCTAATCCTAACCCTACCACAATTTAACTGATATCAAGTTCTGCCACAAAAAGAAGTTTATCCAATGCTCTCCTTCACTTTCACTTTGTCCCTTCTTAGAATCCAACAATGTCATCAACCAAATACTTTTCCATTCCTATTTGGTGAATAGACATAGTTACATAGTAAATCATACATTTCATTAGAGGAAGTGCAAAAATCAAGCAGTGATCTCTTATAAAGTTGAAGCACAGGAATTTCTCTGTATAGAGAGAGTTATTACAGCTCTATAATTATTCCATGTATTATAAGCAACTTGGAATATAAAATCTTGATCTATGATTTACAATGATTTGTTTCTAGACACTCTTCTAAAAACTATTTTGTATGCTGTGCATCTTGAAAGATATCATTTGTAGGCCATAGTGAATCACAGCTTAATGTGGCAAGTCACAGCAAGCTTTAGGTGCATTTATTCTGTCCAACCCCCCCACCCCCACCCCTGCTAGAACCACCGTGTCATTGTTATGGGTCCTACAGGTCTTGGAGACCAAAAAGGTGAGGGGCTCTGCTGCAGAAAGACAGCCCATTCCTGATTTAGAATATGTGTATGCAGCAAGTATGTTTTGAAGTGAACCTTGTTTAGAGTTGTTAATATATGTCTTCTTAACATTCATATACTGTACATATTTAGACAAAAGGTTCAGTTAGCAATAACAATAAAAATGTGTATTTTGCCCAGCAGGAAAAACTATAGTATAAGCTTCATAACAGAAACATAACTGAAGAAAAAGTACAAACCTGACCACAAATGAACTTGCCAAAAACACATGTCCATCATGGAATGTAACTTGACAATGGCACTGATCTTTTACAGATGTTGGAACTTTCACATTAGGTAACAATCCTTCAATCAGTGATTCTCTATTAAGCCTTGGAGCCCAGCAAACCTAAGATACAAAGAACTTTCAATAATGTAAAAATAACATTTTTTTTTTATTCTTCAATTCTTCCATATTTTGTAGTTTTACTGGAAATCCAACAAACATCTGAAACTCCTAAGTAGAAATACTGTTAGTGATTTATCTGAATCTGCTTCAATTTAATATAAACAAATCTATTTTACTGGCACTATTTCTAAATATCCAAAACTATACATATTCAACGGTAAATGACTGTAATGCGCCCAATCTAGTGCTATCACGATAGACCAGTCTGTTCGAAATAATTAACAAAAATTATCTTTCAAGAAAGGGGAACCACTTCATAGTCCATGTATTCCTTTAAAGTTACTGTATCAATTGAAGTGGTCTGCTCATATGCACATGCAGGCAAAATGCAACCCCAAGTAGTGTATTGCAGTAATCCAAGTGAGAGGTGACCAAGGCACGAGTGACTGTGAGTAGGGCCTCCTGATCCAGGACTGGGCACAGTCAGTACACAACGTGGATTTGTGCAAAATCAAATCGCTACCACATGCTCTTCAAGTAGGAGCTGGGAGTTTAGGGGACCTCCACGTTGCACACTGGGTCTGTCTAGGGCAGTGCTACCCTATCCAGTACCAGGACTCCATATCCAGGCAATCCCCAATCCACAGCCATTCTGTCTTGAATCTGACTCTGTTCCTTCCCATCCAGACCTCTACAGCTTCCAAATACTGAGACACAGCCTCAGTGACATCTCTTGGCAGGCCTAGGGTTTAGATATAAAACTGGGTATCATCAACACAACGATACCTAACCCCATGTGAAAAGAGCAGCCTCATGTAGATGTTAAGCAGATGTAGAGAAAAAACTGAGCCCTAAAGCACTTCACAAACAAAGGCCTGAGGGCTAGACCTATCCCATTTCAACACTGACTGGAATGAATCCTGGAAGAAGAACCACTGTTGCAACACTTGCAATTCACAACCCCCTCCAGAAGGATACCTCAACCAATGATACTGAAGGCTGCCAAAAAATCAAGGAGGTCCAGGATGGATGCACCACCCTCCTTCTGGTCCTACCACAGGTCTTCCACAAACATAATCAATGCTCTCTTGGTACTGTTCCCAGGCCTGAAACCTGACTCCAGCACCAGTCCGGCCACAGCATCAAGCAGCTCAGTCAGGAGAGCTGCTATGACCCTATGCACCTATTCCCTGAAGCCCAGCTTCACAAACAGGGTTTCATATTCAGTTACCTGTGGAGCAGCACCTATGACAGCCACAAGTGTCTCCCAGATGACAAAGAGCCACTCCCCCACCCCTGCCCTGGAGTTGCAGCCAATGCCACACTCAAAACCTAGGTGGGCACCATTCTGAGAGGGGACTACCCTTCTCATGCCCATCTAGGTCTTGGTAATACAACTAAGTCAGCTCTCTCGTTCATAACAAGGT